GGGGCAACAGCTTCCCAAGTCTGAAGACAACTGCTCTTTCATAGTCCCTGATTACCTACAAGAAAAGTCCTTAATTTTAATTTAAAGCACATAAAATGTGCTTTAATAAAAGTTATTGCCTTCTTCAGGGGTATTTGACATAACCAGTGTTAGGTTTTTTTTGCCTTTTGTAACAAAGTACAGATATTATTAGATACAGCTAGATAGTACCAGATAAGGCAGGACATTTAGCAAGCTCTACTGAACTTTTAGAAAGATCCCCGCAACAGCATTTCTATTTGGTTAATACAGATGGTTACATAATTCTACAGCAATGGTAACAGGAACTGGAAACTAAATAAAAATTCTAAGTTTTATCTTTAATGACAGAAATCATAAACACCCTCCTGTAAATTATACAGTAGATTTTGGATATATAATACAATTTTAGCTTTTACTTCCTCTTTAGCAACATACAGTTACACAATGAATAATGCCATCAAGGACAAAACTGTTTAAATATAAACACAGTTCTGAGCATGCTCAATTACCTACTTCGCATAGCGTTGTACCACAAATATGAGCATTTGTTATTCATGACATATAAAAATTTTAATGCAAGCTTACTTGCACGGCTTCCCTTCGCTGAAGGATAAGCGCATTTAAATCTATTCTAACAACCGAAAGGTTGCAGTGTTGGGTTGCCATATTGCGGCATGACCTTTGAAAGGCAGTCTCCTCGCATTTTTTTTTCACTTCCTTTCCCACACGGAATATAAGCATTGACTTTTTCTTAGAATAATGCACTGTATGTTTTCCAGTGACAAATAACGTTTGCAATTCTTACTGCACTGACTTACATCAAACATGCACAATTATATGACTGACTTCTCGCTAAATCCAAACTACGAGATCAAATCAGAAGCGAATTATGGAAGAAGTTTAAATCTGGCTTGCTGAACAGCTGAATTGAGGTACATTTAGGAACAATCGATCCATTAACCACCAGATAGAGAATAAAAATATGTGAATTTGAGCTTACCTTCAGACAAAAAAATACAGAAATCGGAAAGGTCAAAAGAAGTAGAAGAGCGGAAGATAACGAGATGAAACACTCCAAGATACTCCACTCTGATGGTCTGGATCTATCGCCTGAAAAATAAAGCAGAATTTATTAAAGAAAAAAACAGTGAATCAGAAAGATCGATTTGGTTCAAGAACGACAGCCACAGCAGAGATGATTGCACCTGTTCTGTCTCCTCCGTCGTAATAAATTGCGACCTGATGCTCTGGCAAGCGGCTGTAAGTAAATGCTTTCGCCATGGAAGCCTTCGCGGGATCTTAGTCGTCAATTTTCCATGATAAACGAAACATTGACAAAATTATTCACTCCTATCAAACGAACCTCTAATTCGTTCTATTTACTTTCGCTTTACTTGTTCCTAGGCTTTCTCGGTTTTAAAAATGGCTGTGTGTTGATGCTGGTGCAGTGCGATTCGCATAAGCACCTATATAGCTTAACACAGTGAATGAATCAAACAGCTCGACTGATACAACTCCCTTCAGTTGAAATTCTAACGGTGTCACTTGCTACATGTGTCAAAGATTTTTGATCTGATCCAGGTTTGTAGTTGCCCCGCAGCGGAGTGTGTCACCGATGTATTTTACCACCTTCTGACGTCATCTGCGATCTAAATTTGAACGAACGGAAGGCAACATGGGATCTTTTCGTTTCATGTGACAAAAAGGCACAATTTTGTTAGTGGTGACATCGTCTGGGCGTCTGTTCTCCAATAAATCATAAGAGCCATTCAAAATGTGTGTATAATTCAGCTTATCATATGAACTCTTACAGGTACAGAGACAAGAATTCAAGAAGGGTTTAAGCGTTTTAGTAGAGGCAGATTACTGGTGGTATATACCGCTGTCTGTAAGACCTTTTATCATATGACCCGTTCGGCCCCGCGCGCGCAATCTTATAAAAACCATAGCGAAAGCTAAAGTGTGTCAGGCGGGACGGGTAAACGTGAGCCGATCCGGAAAATGCCGTTCGGTCCTGCGCTCACACGGCTTTGCCGCAAAAACTTGAAAGAAAAGAGAAAAAAAAAAGTAAAAACGCGTTTTTAGTGAGTTTCTTGTTCTGACTCGAAAATATTGCAGTTTTCTTTTCTTTTAGTTGCCCCGCGTGCACCTGTCTGTTTCGTCCTATTTAGGTTGAAACAGAATTTTCGAAGTTGTCAATTCTTGGTGGTTATAAGATGCTGTGCTCAAGCGCGCGTCATGATCTCGAGCCAAATATTTTCCTGATCGGCCCGACCAAACTCAGTCAATAAGTCCATGCTTTGCCTCCACTACTCCCGTTGCCAACCAAGCCGCTATACCGTTTATTTAACACCAAGATGCTTCCAAGAATTTATTATAATTAAGATTGAAGGAAAGCGAATGCATCAAAGCAAGAGACAAAAATCTTAAAAAACCAGCAGGTGGGAAAAAAATCAAGGAACGTGAACCCCCAACAAAGGCAGTGGTGTCGCTCTCGAGGTTTAAGGATATCCCATGAATAACATGATATTCACAAGAAGATACCAGTTTCTTATGGAAGTAAAGGGGAAACGTTTTTAAAGAAACTGGGTGCTACGTCGGAGCCCTTCGTCAGAGCTCTAATGAAGGGCTAACGCTCGAAACGTCAGCTTTGAAACCCTTAACAGTGGCTAATTTACGTTATAAACTCAGTTGATAATACTAAATTACTTAAGGAAAATTAAAACGAAACTCACCGACTCAACACGGCGATGGCTGACCGTAGAATGCCTTCCCCTACAAACGACCTCAAATTACAAACTACGATCCCATAACTCTCCACGCACCTGGCACCCGCCTCCAGTCCTCTGATACATGCCGGCAAAATAGTAATTTATGCTAATTACGATATTTAGCTGATGGGCAGCCGCACTCGTGTCCGTATTTCGCTTTATGGTAAACCCGTCTTTACACCATCGGCTGTTGGTTATGGAAATATATTGGTATTGGGGGGTGGTGTGTAATTGGCTGACATTAAAAAAAATGAGAAAAAAAAAAAACTCAAACAACACATGTGCTCTCAAAATAACTTTTAATGCCACTTACGACAAGACATGCTCTGATGAAGGGCTAACGCTCGAAACGTCATATTTGATACTCTTTTGGCTATAGCAAATTACCTTGCCTCCCACAACAGTTTATAACACATTTAGTTGTTTATTTTCACGTTACCGGCCATTAACTACAATTCCCCTTTAACCCTCTGTCGCCCAAGAGTGACTAACATTGAAGTTCTCCCTAAAATATCACCCCTGAATCACACATTAAAGTCACGAGAAGAAAGGAAATGATCACCAACTTAACAAGCTCCTGATTGTTAAACAAGTTCTCCTTGCCAGAAAAATAGAGAGAATGGTGGAATAGGATAGGAGAATATGGATGCTGATGTTCAGGTGTGGTGGGTTGATAATGTGGAATGTTCAGTTTATATGCAGTATAGTTGTACAGATCTTTGATTTCTGGGTCTATATCCCCTGTTTCATATGTTGCAATACGATTGCGCGCTTCAATCGTCACTGACATCGTGGTTCCATAATATATGTTGTCTCTGTACACGTGATGTTGAGACAAATTGCCATTGGTCAGCCAAATGCATGCGAACAGAGCCAAGTTACTGACTCCAACGATCTCAAATACGTTGGCAGAATACTTGATATTCACATCCTTTCCAGCGTAATGAGGCTCATAATAACCTACTCCGCTTTTTGCTCCACCAAGCCTTGTTCGCTGTACGATGTGGTTTCCGTAGACCGTAACGTTCTTGAGACCATCATGAAGACAGGCCTTGGCTTTTCTGTACGTAAACAATAAAATACTTGTGTCGTCTAAATAATTACGAACAACCCGAAGATTTTTTCCATTTCGAGCTTTGATGCCACCTGATGGATTCGAAGGCCAACCACTCACGTAGTTATTATTTACTTCCAGGGTATCAAAACCTTTGAAGTACATGGCATGATCTCTGTGCTGACTGGTATTGGGACTTCCGTTCAAAATGTTTTTGGCTATTTTCATTCTTTTATCGCACTGGCTATAAAGACAACTTTTAAAGAAGCCTTGGTCAGATACAAGATTGTAATGAGTCTTAAGATATTGTAATTTCTTTTTTTGAGTTCGCCAATGGTTTACTGGCTCAATTTGAGAGGACAACCAGTCTAAACTATTTAAATCGAGGCCACATACGTTGCCAGTTACCTCAACGCTCAGAGTGCTGGCATATCTTGAAGCAACTCCATATGCACCTGAATCGCGTAAAAATACGTTTTTGTAAACACCACTGTTCTCAAGATTCATCATAACTAGTTGTCTCCTCTTCCCGTCGCCTGGAATTGCACTTCCCGATGAAAAGAATACACAGCTCTCTATTGTAATGTTACTTGTGGATGACGGCCCTTTGGTCGCGCCATCAAATTCTACACGAATTCCGTCAAAATACAGATACTTCAGGGAAACATGCTTTACTGGTTTAGCGTTGTGTATCTCTTTGGCGTATGGAGTCGACGCCTTGATAACTGCAATACCGCTCTGGGTTCCATGAAGTTTCACTGAGCCACGGATAGCAATATTACGGCTGACCAGGTACTCACCACGAGGAAAGAAAACCTTGTTGTTGTCTGAACCTGCAACTTGGTTGACGATCGCCTGAATGGCAGATGTGTCGTCAACTTGTCCATCTCCAACAGCAGCAGTCAAGGAACCTC